ATGTATATGCCATTGTGGGATGTTGATGAACTTGAGAAGGGGTTCTATTGCACACTTGGACCTTCTGATAATATTGAAGAAGAATATGAAAAATGTGGTCTGAAGTAAAGCAATGGGGTCCAATTCCTCGTACTGTATTTAAAATTAGATATTGCTCTGGGGAGATGTAGCATGGATGTTATTCGGAAAACTATTGGGGCAGTTGCCACAGGGTCAGATAACATTAGTCATAGGACATTATCACACTTAATTATTTATCAAGTAGTTACACTTTTACCTCAGTTTATGTTGAAGAAAGAATAATGAACAAAGCAATGACAGAAGAAAAACAGAAACTGAATTCTTACAAGCAAGTGAAGGTGAAGGACAAATATCACCAATGAGAGGTACATTATTTGAAGGCTTTGCACACAAATGTCTCCAAAATGGTGGGACATTCACTGTACGTAGTTTGAAGAATAAGGCATCCTTGCCAATTTCAATAGTTCTGCAACAGAGAACTCTCAAGTGGTTTCGTAATACGCAAGATATTTCTCCGTCCAATTGCTTGAAATTTTCCAAGCAGTGATGCAATATCTCCATCGGACTATATCTTCCAAATTACAATTTCAAAAAACCATGCAATCAAATGAGCACCATTAAAAGCAACTTTGTTGTTTCTGAAGACAATTTTGGTAACTATCCAGAATAAAAATTTCTAGATCAAAATGGGAAGGTAAAGAAGATTAATGGATTAATAATGTCAAGGGTTAAACAATATGTACTTGAGATCCCTTACGCAGCATTGATTTAAGGTGATATCAGATAATTATCAAAGCACATTTATATTTTTAGGTCGATTTTGATATGTATTAGTGTGATGCTTGTTAAAGCTATACTTTTTTTTTTAATTTTAAAGTCAAATAATCATGTCGATACTAATACCGTTTTTTTTTGCTTGTTTATACTTGGGAACAAAATTTAGCAAATCCAAATCCACCAATAAAGATCATGCACAGTTGTTTATCGAACCTTGCTAATTAAGCTTTTTTACAAATAAAAAAATAAAGTTCAAAATTCTCTAGCTACAAATGATATGTTATTGAATGCCCATGTCGCATCTATAATAACTTTTGCATCAATATCACCTTTAATCAATTAAACATTATGATTTATATTATTATGAAGCTTTTGATATTAATACATCCCATTATAGTATAATAAGTTAATAAAAAATCACGTGGAAACAACTTCATGTGATTGATTAATAGTATCCAAGCTAAATTGTTAACAATAGAAAGCATGCTATGATAAGGTTAATAAGTTAATATTGTATTGGTTATATGTTTTTATTATGATCATGAATTTTATGAAATAAAGTCAAATAATTATTATGAAAATAGATGGATGATTTTTAAAGATCAATTAGAATATTTTTATAAAAAGTTAAATAATTCTAAAATGAAAAATGAGAATTAATTGATGTATTAGTTTATTATTTTTTATTAAAAAAAAAATATTTATCAGAGTATGATCAAAGGTATTTAGAATATTAGATTTCATAATTAAATCATATTTTTGAACAATTATTAAATAAAAAATAATAAAGATTTTTATTGCATTATAATTTATAGATAAATAATAATAAATAAATGAGATAATTAATAATATTAATAATAAAAAATGATTAAAAGATCATGTGAATAGAAAAGGATTTGTTATAGTAATATTAAACAACCTTTGATATTCAGAAATGATATTTTAATCAATCATAAATATTAATACTTATACTAAAGATGGTAGCCTTTATGAATATGTTGCAACATACCACTATTATAATATATGTTGCAACATAGTTGCAACATTTGAAAAAATTTATTAATTTGTTGCAACATGTATTAATTTGTTGA